GGGTTGGAACCGACTCAACGGCCCTTAACAACAACAACAAAATATAGCTAAAAGAGAGAGAGAACCATTATATGATTTCAAAGAATAGGGTGTGTATAACTTGGTGTGGGGTTGTAGGATAAGCATTAGACTGCAAGGTCAGTTGGAACTGCAAGGTTGGTGGTTGCAATCCACCAACCACTCCTGGAAGCCCTATACAAGGTTGCTGTTAGTTGGAGTCAACTAGATGGCACTTAACAATAACCCAATATAAACAAATGAAAATCTAGTAGTTCATCTTTCAAGAATAACCAGGAGTAAAAAGAAAATACACTTTTAAATGTATAGGACGATAATACTACATATTAAATTAGGTTACTTGCCTGATTTTCATGAAATTTGTTTTGATTTTAAAACAATGGCAAAACATGAACTTGTTACAACAACTTGAAGATGAATCTGTAATATCACCAGCTTATTCTAGAGCAGATGATAGCCATTTGTAGGGTCACTATGCTGGAGTCTTGGTGTGATGCTGTGGGCTAATGAACTGGATTGCAAAATTGGTGTGAACCGCAAGGTTGATGATTCAAGCTCACCAGCTGCTCCTCAGAAACCCTTTACAAGGTCACTATGAGTTAGAGCTGCCTCGAACAAGAGTCACTATGAGCCAGAATTGACTCGAGGGCAGTGGGTTTGGGTTTGGTTTAACTTTTGTAAATTTTGTTTTCACAACATAATTCTATATGTCATTAATTTACACTAGAATTTTTTTGTAATAACATGCAAAATAGTATTGCAGAAAGTTTATTTTTTGCTAATGGAGAAAGCAAGTGTAGCACATGGATTTTGATAACTTTGAAGACATTTTTCATTGTTACTGATTTAATTCTGGAATGAGGTGTTCCTCGTTCTAAGTAAACATGTTAATCATAATTCATCGGATCTGTTGTTGAGTGCCATCAAGTCAGTTCTGACTCATAGCGATCCTGTGTAGCGTTTCCAAGGAGCAGCTGGTGAGTTTGAACTGCCAGACTTGACTTTGTGGCCCAGTCCTTATCCTATAGCGCCACACCAGGACTCCATTTAATCTAGATGTCATTTATTTTAAGTGTTGCTATGAATAGGGAAGAAAATGCTGTCAATAAAATTGCGACAGTATACCATTTTTATTTTGTCTTCACTTTTTTTTTAAATTACGGTAGATATATACATAGCACATTATTTGCCTTTTCAACATTCTTCACATGTAAAATTCAGTGACAAGCCATTAATTTTTAAGATACATTTCACAGATATTAGATGGCAATGAAGCAGTATGCTTTGTTGTTGCCTTCGAGTCTGTTCCGACTCATAGCAACCCTGTATTAGTCTTTCCAAAGAGTTGGCTGGTGGGTTTAAACTTACGACCTTGTAGTTAGCAGTCCAGTGCTTATTCTACAGTGCCACACATAGTGCACAGGTTTTTTTAGTATCAGGCTTTAAGTGACTCTCACTGTATCATGTTTAATAGGTGTGTGATTTGGTACATGGAAGCTCTTCTCTTCATTAGATTCTATTAATAACAAAAGCCAACTTTGAGTTACTGGTGGTCCCAAAACACCAACCCCACCCTCTTCTCAGGCTGTACCTATCTCTAACAAAATCAGTTCTCCATATAAACTCCTGATAGCAGTTATTTATAGCCTCCTGGGAATTTAAGGCAAAGTGTTAAATTACCTTATGGTGTTTGCTTTTTAGGCCTTGTCTTTAATTATCGGCTAAAAACCTTTATTGATTTAAAGACCTTTGTGGCCTCAGCTAGCACTTGGAACAAGTTTTGTGGGACTGGCTGGAGAATGAGGAGAGTGGGGCCTATCTCCTCCTCTGGCTCTGCAGAAGGTTATAGATAGATAACAAGAGTACCTCATTTCCTTTCCCACCCTCAAGTGGTAAACCAAATCTCCCTGCCTTTGTACTGGAAGTCAGTAACAAAGTTAAATTCATTCTATGGCTGGCTTTACTGACTGTGTCTGAACGAAAAATAAACTAGAATCCTAAATAGCTACATTTCTAGCTAATTTCATTGAAATTTTATCAGTTTTATCTCCCTTCTGATAGAGGCTATTGAATTTTAAGGAAACCTTGTGATGTACAGAATTCTTTTGTAATTTGAATAGCCACTTCCTAATTTACCTGTTTTCTCAGTCTCAGTGTTTGCAGATCTCATTGACTTAAATCAGATTTTACATTTTGAATGACTGGTAGGTAATCAGATTCTAAGATTACTTTTTCTAAATTATCTCCAGGCCTGCCTGAAGAGATACTGTGTATGCTATCATAGTTGGGCTCTTGGGTAAACTGCAGGAGTAATTCTGGTTTAGCTTGAAGATGAAAGCAGAAATTTTTAAGAGTCTTTTTAAGTTTAGTGCATTCATCATTTGGGAATCTGTTCATAGTCGATGTATTTTTTATGTAGTAGTTCCTCAGTAAAAATGTTACGTTAATCCCAAATTTATGGCATCAAGTTGCCATGTAAAAGCTTATAAACAGAGTAACCCATTGCATTCTCGGATTTAGGTTAACACAAAGTACTTTCTCAGCACAAGATGTGCAATGATATTACACATGTTGCCAGTGTTGTATTAGCTTTGAAAGGGTAATCCACTGAACCTCAAGATCTGCAATTCAAATTTAGCAGCCGCTCCTATGAGCAGTCACTGTGAGGATCAATCAATTTGACAACACTTAACAACAATAGCAATCTTACTGTCTCTGTTAAATTTCCTTACATTTAAACTCATAAAAATTGTCAGGAAAATATTTATTTTATGAGGGGCCTTCAGAATGTTCATGGAAAAATTTTATTATCTTTCTATTTCATTCTCCCATGAATTTTTAGAAGCCCCCTTGTATTATAGGACTATATTCTTTAGAGTAATGGATTGGTTAGTAATGTCTTGACTGATTTTCCAACCACATCCTATATGTTTGACTGACTTTGACTTTTTGTCTTTGCAGCTCGGGGTATGGTTTTCTTTGGGTTGTGCCTATTTGGCCCTGGAAGACTATGGAGGTTCGGCAAAGGCGTTTCAGCGTTGTGTCACCTTAGAACCTGATGTAGGTTTGTTTGGTCTTTTCCCCTTATTTTAGCTTGTTAATATTCCCTAAGTTAAGAGCAATTTCTCTTGTGTTGGAAGAAAATAAAACCTTTGAAGGAAGGTCTCATCTTCAGAGGTATATGGTTTATAAATCTGAAAATCAAGCCGATTCTCATAAGCAACTTATTTATTATTAAATTAATTTTTATTAATATGGAAAATAATTTGATAAATAAATTTATCATTTATAAATTTCTAAGAAGCCCTGGTGTACTATAGTGGATTTATGAGCTGGCCTGCTAACCTCAAGGTCAGCAGTTCGAATCTACCAGTTGCTCCACAGAAGAAAGATGAGGCTTTCTGCCCCCATAAAGATTTACAGCCTCAGAAACCCTATACAGGGTCTCTGTGAGTTGGGATGGATTTGGTGACATACAGCTACCACCACCATAATTTTCTAGTTAAAAATAGACTTCACTGAAGCATACACTGAAATATTGCTTATGTTTTGTTGTTCACTCGTATATGCTGCTTGTTATTGTTGTTAAGTGCCGTGGAGTCGGTTCCGACCCATAGCGACCCTGTACAGGGTTTCCAAGGCTGTAAATCTTTACAGGAGCAGAAAGCCTCCTCTTTCTCCCACGGAACAGCTGGTAGTTTCGAATTGCTGTCCCTGAGGTTCACAGCCCGATTCGTAACCACTACGCTACCAGAGCTCCTTATGTAAGTTATGTTACTGAAAAGTTCTTTGGCTGAAGTCTTTGGTGGTCGTCGTCCCCACCCCCAATTTAACAGCTTTGTTTTTAAATATATTTCATGGGCCATATGTCAACCATTTAAAGTATACTTCAATGATTTTTTTACTGTATTCAAAGTTGTACAACCTTTATCATAATCAGTTTTGGAAAATTTTTATCAACCAATAAAGAAAAGAAAACACTGTACACCGCCCCCGCCGCCCCTATCACAACTTCTTCCTCCTTATCCTTTCCCTGCGAACTAGACAATCACTAGAGTTCTTTCTTCCCTGTGTATTTATCTGTTCTGGACATTTCTTGTAAAAGGAATCATACAGTATACAGTCTTTCGTGAATGACTTCTTTCACTTATAAGATTGTCAAGAGTCATCCATGTTATAGCTTCTATCAGAGCTGCATTCCTTTTTATAACCAAATAATATTCCTCGATAGGAGTATGCTCCATTTTATTTATCCGTTCAGTTGAAGGACATTGGGTTATTGTTACTTTTTTGACTATTAAAAATAATACTGTACAAACATTTGTAAGCAAGTTTTTGCATGTACATATGCTTTCATTTCTCTTGTATACCTAGAACTGGAATTTCTGGGTCACAAGGCCATTTTCTCTTAAGCTGACACTATTGTACATGCTCCCCTGCAGTGTATGAGTGTTCCAGCTTCTCTGCATCCTTATCAACACTAGATATTATTTGTGTTTGATTATAACCTTTTTGTTGTTAAGTGCCTTCTAGTCCGTTCCAACCCATAGTGACCCTGTATAGGATTTTGGAGGAGCAGCTGTTGAACTTGAACCACTGACCTTGCAGTTCAAACCAACCATGCAGTCCAGCGCATTAACTTGCAGCACTACACCAGGACTCCACTTAGTAGATATGAAATGGTATTGTCACTGTAGTTTTGACTTGCATAGCTTTGATGGCTAGTGATGTTGACCACCTCTTCATGTGCTTAGTAGTCATTTGTATATCTTCTTGGAGAATTGCCTATTCACATTTTTAGTTGGGTTATCATTTTATCATGTAATGGTAAGAATTTTTTTATGTTCTAGTTGCAAAACGCTTATCAGATATATGGTTTGCAAATATTATTTCCCATTCTCTGGGATGTCTTTTTCTTTCTTTATGGTATCCTTTGAGCCATTAAAGTTTTTCATGTTGATTAAGTCCAATCTATATATATTTTCTTTTCTGTCACTTTTGTTTTTGATGTCATGTGCATATATAAGAAGTCTGCCTAGAGTCATGAAAATGTACACTTGTATTTTTTTATGGGAGTTTTGTAGTTTTAACTCCTGCCTTTAAATATTAATCCATTTTGAGTTAATTTTTGGTGTATGGGATAAGGAAAGTGACCAACTTCATTCTTTTACATGTAACTATACAGTTGTGCTGGAGTCCTGGTGTGGTGCTGTGGGTTAATGCGCCAGACTGCAAAGCTGTTTGAACTGCAAAGTTGGCGCTTCAAGTTCCTTGGAAACCCTAGACAGGGACGCTATGGGTTGGAACCGAATCAACAGCACTAACAACAACAAATACAGTTGTGCCAGAATCATTTTTGGAAAGACTTTCCTTTTTCTATGTTAAATTGCCTGGAAACACTTGTTGAAAATCAGGTTACCATCTATGTAAGGGTTTATTTCTAGATTCTCAGTTCTATTCCATTGATTTATATGTCCTAGTCTGCCTTTGATAGCGTAGTGGTTATGAATCAGGCTGCTAACCTCAGGGTCAGCAGTTCAAAACTACCAGCTGTTCCGTGGGAGAAAGATGAGGCTTTCTGCTCCTGTAAAGATTTACAGCATCAGAAACCCTGTGCAGGGTCGCTGAGAGTTGGAACCAACTCCACAGCACATAACAGTAACAACAAGCTTGACTTTATTACTGATGTTTGTAATTAATTAATAAGTGATAGTCCTCCATTATGTTCAAGATAGTTTTGGCTATTCAGAATCCTTTAATTTTCATATGAATTTTTGGTTCAGATGATCAGTTTATGCAAACAAAGGCAGCAGGAATGTTGATAGAAATTACAACAAATCTGTGAATCAGTTTGGTTAATGTTGCCATTTAATAATATTAAGCCTTTGATCTATGATGTCATTCTATTAGGTATTTAATTTATCTAAAAAATTATTTTGTTATTTTTAGAGTATCAGCTTTTACTTTTTTTGTTATGTTGCTTCTTTTTGATCCTATTAAAAATGGAATTGTTTTCTAATTTAATTTTCACATAATTCATTTCTAACCTAAAAAAATAACAGTTCATTTTATAAAATATACTTGTGTATCCTACAACCTTGCTGAACTTGTTTATTCTAATAGGTTTTTTGTTTGTTTTAAATACTACTGTGTTTTCAGTGAAGGTTTGTTCAGCAGTTTAGTTTTCCACTCAACAGTTTCTACACAAATGGTTCAGTGACATTGGTTATGTTTTTTACAATACGTGACCATTCTCATTATTTTTGCTCTGTTTGTTCCATTATTTCTAATCGGTTTTTTTTGTGTGTGGATTCCTTAGGATAGTTTACATGAAAGATCACGTCATCCTCAAATAGAGATAGTTTTACTTCCTTCTTTCCAATCTTGATGACTTTTACTTCTTCTTTTTGCCTAACTGTGCTTAGCTACAGTCTCTATACAAAGTTGAATAGAAGTAGGAGAATGTGTACGTCCTTGTCTTGTTTCTGATCTTACAGGAAAGGCTTTCCATCTTGCACCATTTGGTGTGGAATTAACTGAGGAGTTTTTTTGTAGGTTCCCTTTATCAGGTTGAAGAATTTCCATTCTATTAGTAATTTGCTGAATGTGTTTATTGTGCAAGTGTTTGATTTTGTCAAATTTTTTTGTGCCTATTAAAATGATCTCATGGTTTTGGTTTGGTTTTTCCTTTATTCTGTAACCATATAGGATTGGTATGAGTCAAAACCAACTCAACGGCACACAGCCATCACCACTACATTTAACTATGGAGTCCTGGTATGTTGCTGTAGGATGAGTGCTAAACTGCTACCTGCAAGGTCTGTGATTTAAACCTACCAGCAGCTGCTTGGAAATCCTATACATGGTCGCTCTGAGTTGGAACAAACTCAGCAGCATGTAACAACAATAACTACTACACTGATTTTTGAATGTGGAATCAACCTTGCATTCTGGAGTCAGTTTAAAGACTAAAGTGCATCTGACTCAAGACATAAGTGGTTTAAAATTAGGAAAGGTGGGTGCCAAGCTTGTACTCTTTCACCGTACTTATTCAGTCTGTATGCAGAGCAAATATTCTGAGAAGCTGGATTCTGTGAAGAAAAACATGGCATTAGAATTGGAGGAAGTCCCATTAACAACCTGCTATATGCAGATGATAAAACCTTTCTTGCTAAAAGTGAAGAGAACTCAAAATACTTAACTGCTAAAGATCAAAGACCAAAGTCTATGGTATGGGTTGCACCTCAATGTAAAGACAGCAAAAATCCTTACCACTGGACCAGTAACCAACATCCATATACATGGAGAAAAGATTGAAGTTGTTGAAGACATCATTTTGTTCAGATCAACACTCATGGAAGCAGCAGTCAAGAAATCAAATGCCTATTGCATTAGGCAAATCTGACCTCTTTAAATGTTGAAGAACAAAGAAGTCAGTTTGAGAATTAAGGTGTACCTGACCCA